TTGTTTCTCAATAGATTTCCACTTTCTCACGTTTGTGTCATTTGTGTCCCTCGCTCCCTCTTTTCCCCGAAGCCTTGCTAAGGCATGTTACTGTGGTACTACAATGCCTTGGCCATTTCTCGTTACCTCCATCACAAAAGGCTGTGCTGTTCTGTTTGTGCTTATAATGTACCCAGATGGTGAATAGAATGAGTGACCACCAAGCTCATTTTCACTTGTGGGGTCAGACCTTTTTCTGCTAAATAACACAAGTGTTCCCAGCTGCTGTGCAGCTGCAGGGAGTCTGCTTTCCTTCACAGGCATTAAAAACCCTTTAATCAGTGTTTGTTGTTTGTCAGCAGTGGTGTTGAGGTGTGGAGAAAAAGAACAGATATGCTTTGTTGGCAAAGTTAACTTCATTCTGACCTCTTATCTTTCCTTTTTCTTTTCAAGTCTGAAGAAGTAGAAAGCAGTTTGGGAAGTGGTTTCTGCAAGCACCTGTGTAAATGTATTTGCTAAAGGAGGAGGTTTGTGTCCTTGTACAGACAGAACATTTGACATAAAAAGATGCTCTGAGAGCTGCATTGAACTGGAAACTCTTTAGGGCAGGGACTCAAACTGGCTGGAATAGGCACTGTGCAGACTCCCTTAGTGTAAATAAATGTTACAAAAATACAAATACTGTCGCTTAATACTAGTGTTACTTATCTTAATATTGAGTCTATATTCAATGGATCCCATTTGCAATCTGGTCAATATTAACTTTTTTATGTAAAATACATTATTTATTTATTATAGTTTTGGAATGGGGTTTTTTTGTTTTGTTTTAGCTGGGTTTTCTGTTTGTAGTGGTTTGTTTGTTTTCCTTTTAGTTCTACTTTTAATAGCTTTCTTCTCATGAAGGAAAAGGGAGGAGATAAAGAGCTGATAAGCTGTCTCCAATCCCGTTTGCTTTGGATGTAGTCTGTTCGGAAACAAATGGGAACACAGAAATCAAGAAGAAGCTTTGAGAAATTTCAGAGCTAAGATAATTATTTTCCTCTTCTTTCTAGATGAAGCTTGGAAACCTGCTGGTGCTGCACGTTTGCAGGTTTGCTCTTTCCCTGAGTCCAGGTTTGCTCGCATTGTGTGTCTGTGTGTAGAGCACTGAGCACTGCTCTGTGAGTAGTGATTCTGTTGCTTGCAAAGTCTGTCTGCGTGTGCATCCTGAGGCTGTTGGGACATCAGGCTTTGATTTGAGCTTCGAAAGTCATCGTAGGACACTGGCATTAAAGGCAGAATATTTACCTTGCTGCTGTTCCCCTGGAAAGACCAGAGGATCACATTCCTGTCTTGGCTGTGTGTGGGGAGGGTGGGTACCAGGCATTAGGGCACATTCCTCACAGCCCTCAGCCCAGCTCAGCAGGATCTCCAGCAGTGACCAAGGGGCTCTTATGGAGCAGGGCTGTGCCCTAGGGAAAGTAGTGCCTGCTTGCTCAAAGTAGGAATTATGAAATAAAAATCAAACTGACTGTATATGGATTCTGGTCCTAGCTGCTAAAATTACAGAACCAAGGGGTCTCCCCATGGCAGACACATTTTAGCATTCATCCATTCTTTTTCTTCATGCAGCTGAAGTTGCTTACAGTGGAGGTCATGCTCTTAGACCAGCAAAATGCTAAAGGAAGACTTTTTATGCTGGGCAGGAGGAGATGTACACTCAAAACATTTAGTATATTACATGTCTGTGGGTGGTCTGTATTGACCATCAATTCTATAGCATGAATGGTTATGTGCTAGAAAGGGGACAAAGAACCACCATTTTATACCTGAATGCTGGTATATGCAGTCAGGGCTGCTGACCAAAGAGATGGGCTGTGAGCTACAGTGGAACAGGTACCCTGCTCTGAGAGGGGGTTTTTGAAGCCCTCCGGATCTCCTGGAGATATTGCTGGCCTTTCTGGCAGCGCGGTTTGCTTGCGTGAGAAGAGCTCTGATCAGACAGGTGTGATCCTGGATCCTTCTTGAATTTACTGCAGACTTACTCAGTTACAATCTACCTGAACAAAACAAGCACCATCTTGTGCAACTACGTAAACCATAAACTTTTTTGGGCAAGGCAGGTGTGGCATCTTCAGTCTCTGGAAAGCACCGAACATGCTGTGTGGGCGCCCTACTGTAATCCAAATTACAAATGCTAAAAAGGCTTTTGATTTTTTTAAATTTTTTTTTTTTCTAATAACGTGATTCTTGGCTTAATTTGGGTAGGCAAGAACTTCACAGACTGCATTGGGATGCTCTGCATGTTTCCTCAGGCCCTCATAATTAATCAATGTCGAGTTGTTGCTCTGTCTGCAAGGAGGCAGCTGAGGGAAGCGCTTCCAGAGCCTTAGGTTTAACTTGTTTGTCAGCCCTGAGAACAACTTTCTGTTCTTTAGAATGAAGAAGGGGGGTTCTTGATGTATAAGACCCCTCTATAGTAAGTATTTTGGTACAGGCTGAAGAAGACTTGAGTTTTCATCACACAAGATGACTTTCAATAAGTTGGTAATAATGTTTGATGCTGAGAACCAGTATTCCAGATCTTCTTGTTGAACCTCTGGCAAACTCATACCTGTGGAACTCAGCTTCTGACAAGGAATTTGCAAAGAGTTTCATGCCAGTAACTCAAGTCTCCAGTTGTGATAAATAGGAGATCTGTGTGTTCCTTCTAAACCAGAATGGTTCCTGTGTTGAACTGAAGACTTAATTGCTGAATGTGCACCATACTGTCCTATCAGGCAGCTCTGCTTTGAAAGTCTGTTTATACATACAGAAACCTGAAAAGCCTTGTGAGTCTTTCAGTGTCTGACATCACATAGTGGGAGGAGGCTTCAGCATCTTCAGTCTGTTGCTTTTTGCTGAATGTTTACAGTCACTACCAATAGTTGCATTTTGGGAGCAACAGAAAGACATTACTGTAGCCAGAGCAATTCCAAGTTAAGTTGTGATAGTCCAGCCACTGAAAAGAAAAAAATCTGGTCCAGCTTTACAGTGTTTTTATAGTCTAGTCCAGGTCTCTATAAACAATTTAAAATTGCCTTCAGGTTTAAATTTTCCAATTTCCCATTTGGAGCAGGTGTTGCCAGGTTATAGAATGTGTTGCAGAAAAGGAACAAAAACATTTCAAAAACACTGTGCTGTAACAAATATGTCAAGTCTGTGACAGATGAGATTTAAAAAAATGCTTGCCCCACCAAAAGTAAAATGAATGCCAACCTTGCTTACTTTTCCCGGCTATCATATTTAAATAGGGGGCTTAGTAATGCATTACTCTTCAAAAGATCCAGCAGTACAGTATGAAAATATGAAACTTCTCAATTGTTTTTCATTTAACTGGGGAGAAAAGATTTTTGTTTTTTTTGTAATGAAAAAACCTACCAGCAACTAAATTTCAGAGATGCATGTTCTCAGAGTGGTTAAAAACCAACCCAAACTAGGCTTCAAGCAATGTTTTTTCAACAGTTTTAACCTCAAAGCATAGAGTAGACAGCTTTGTAGGAAACTGTAACACCAAGGTGATTATGGCAGTGACTCACGCTTCCCTGTAAGGCATCCAGCTATCAGCACATTTGGAGAGCTGTGGCTTTGTGCATGCAGGCAGGGTGTCAGTCAGTGCCCATTTGCCAGCCAGCTCTGAACTGCTGAGCTCAGAACTGCTTTGACAGCGGGCTGGCATATCTGTGTGTTAGGAGAGCAGCTCTGGTGCCCCCAGGCTTGCAAGAGGCTGTAGAAATAGGAGGTAGGGATGGGGATGTGCAAGGCAGGTTTGACTTGCCTTTTCTTTGCTTAATCCTCATTGAACTTGTTTGAAGAGTCCTCTGAAATATTCCTGTGAGCAGGTGATTGGGTTTGGGCAATAATTAAAGGTCTGACGGACCACTTAGTGGGGTAGTATGGAAAGAGAAAAAGGCTGCTACTATCATGACTTGCCAAAAATTTCTGCAAGCAAGTAGTTATGGAAAGATGACCATCAGTTTGGATCATCAGGAAAACAATATGAATGTGGGAAAGAGACCTGGGTGTCCCTATAGGCAGTTCAGAGTAGAGTTGAGGGTACAGCAGTAAACTCCTCCTGGATGTTGGGATTTGCAAGGAACAAGCGGACAAAAGATGGGGACTCATATGCGCTGTGGGTTCCCCATCACCAAAAATAAGGCAGAATGCCAAGGAAGACAGTAGGGATCATGATATGGAGAGAAGTGGTCTGGGTGAGAAGTAGGACGGTTGGGATTATTCAAACTGTGCAAGATTGGCAAGCGATGCTGCATTTGCACAAAATGGGTTGCATCATAATGGAATGCTCAGGAAGAAGAGGTATGCAGAAAGATTACATAAATTCAAACTTCTGAAAGGAAATAGATTTTCATATAGTGTGCAATTTGACTGTGGGATGCATGGAGTGCAGTTGCCAGCTGTGCTGGGTATCATCAGGAGGGAACAAAAGGTGACTTAGGGAGTGTGCAGGTATGCTCTAGCAGGTGGTATTCAGAGATGATATAAACAATGCTTTCAAAAACATCACTGGTGATATGAAACTGGTTACATGCATGGTTCAACTACAAAGGCCAATCTTGATAGTTTATTTGTATTCCTCTGTCTTTGGTGATAAATTTTTTGTGTCTCTGACTAAAATTGTCTAGTACCAGATACCGTTTGTGGCACAGCACTGGGCAAGCTAGGCTGTTGTGACTCAGTATTACCCTTCCCGTGTGGGTTGTGTTTGGCTTTGCACATCTTACTTTTTTAGAGGTGAGGCAGAGTGAGTAATGTTTCCATTTTATTAAAAAGAATGGAATAGACCGTTAATATTTTTTAAAGATGTACGTGTTTCATTTCAAGTTCCCTTCAGGCAAAGTCAGCTTTGTTAGGCAGTTTAAAATGCATTATAGTCATATTGCTATTGTCATAAAGAAAAAAATACACCATGCTCAGTTTTGGGAAACCAAACAAAACCACTGTTTTTTTTTTTCTCTTCTCCCTCCTTTTTTCTCTTTCTTCAGTTTTTAATAAGCGACCGTGACAGAGACCCGCAGTGTAACCTGCACTGCTCCAGGTCCCAGTCCAAAGCGCTGTGTGCCTCTGATGGCAGAACCTACGAGTCCATGTGCGACTACCAGAGAGCCAAGTGCCGTGAGCCGAGCCTGAGCGTCACACATCGTGGCCGCTGCAAAGGTACGTGCATTCCAAATGCCTCTGAGAGGAGAAATGGGGGGCCTTCCTCGTAGGAAACTGAATTCTTAGACCTCTGAGTTTAGTACCATGCTCTGAGAGTAATCTGATTTGGAATTGTGCATTCCTGCAAGCCTGGGTATCTGAGTCTCGGTTTAGGCAGTAGAGTATGAGCTGACTGAATTATCAATGAAAGAAGGAAAAGGAGGCACAGACATCACTGGAAAAGGGCTGAAATATATTTCTGCTGACAGAAACAGCTGGCCCCATGGAAGTACAAAACCAAATCCTGAAAGGCTTCTTCCTTGCTACCTGTGCTGGTGAGGAATCAAGACACCTTTGACCCTTTGACTGGCAGGAATTTGGAGTGGGGAAGAATATGAAGCACATTAGATGTCTAGTCCCTTTTCAGACATACACAGCGTTTCTGTGCTGAGCTAATTAAGAAGGCAGTGCATGCAAGGCTTTACATGTTGGGTTTTTTTTCTGTTTGCTGTTACACATCTACTTAGAAGTGTGAATACTGTCCCTCAATTCAGCTCTTGGGCATAGTCTAAAGATGAAGTTGAAACTTCTTTAAAGGGTTATTGGTGTCTTGTCACTCAAATGATTTGCATTTACAATGAAGTGAAAAATAAAGTGGAGTTCATTTTCTGGGAGCACAGTTGGCTCAGAGGGCAGATGGCACAGGTGTTTTTGGCAGTGGATTAATGTGACAGGAGAAACTCATTAAAATCCATGTGACAGAATAAAAAGAACTCATTTAAGCCTGGAATTTGTTTATAAAGGCTTTTTTTTACTATTATAAAAATGTATCTTTGTTAGAATTACTTGATATAAGGTGGAAATCTCCTTTCAGTGTATTGACAGATTTTATAGTCTAGGTGAATTATGAGCCTGACTTCAAATATTGCTCTCTTTTAAACAGTTTCTCATTGGAAAAAATTTACTAGTATGATTTTTTTGTTAGTTTGTTTTTCACCACTACTGGATTGGTTTATGGCAGCTTCTCCCAGAGCATAGGTTGAGGCCTTTGAAACAGGCTTCTTTCTAAATACTGGAAAACCAGAACCTTTCTTCACACAGCTTAAGAAGCACTTGGGTTGTCATTGCAAGTGATTCATTTTTGAGTATCACAGTAAGAAGCAGTATGGTGACAGTCCTGTTTTTGCTTTCATTCCCTGAGCAGAGTGTCTTAGATAAGCAGCTCCATAGCTGATATTTGCATATAAACTGGCACTGTTCAGTTGCTTAAAACATGAAATCTGAAATGCGGTATATATACTAAACTGTCTGTCTGTGGAAGTAGACAAAATTTGCTTCCCAAACTACATGGCCTATTGCATATTGTGATTCCAGAGTCCCCAAGAAATAACTGAGACTTTTTTTGTCTTGAGCACAGGTAAAGTATACATTCTTTCTGCTCTCTGATACAACTGTAATGTTTAGTTGACGCTAACTTGCAATCTCTTTTCCTTTCCCCTCTTACCCTGTGGTACTATGCAGTACCTAACAGCCTGGGAGTGTTTGTAAACTGCAAGTCTTGCTTTTAACCCACTGACACTCCTGCCAATTCCTGTGAAGTAGGAATATTCTTTCAACTATCACATGCAAATTTAACCTGGTAATTTCCATATGTGCAGTTCTTTAAAGGTATTTCATTTTTCTAGCTGCATTAGGAACATGATCTCTAGTGTATAATGATCACAGTTATTGGCAAATCCGGGCAGTTGTGAGACAGCTGTGCTGAACTACAGGCTGTTGGCTGGGTCTATATTGTGTACTTGCAAAAAGGAAGGCATTTCCAACAGTGTTTGAGCACCCTGTACTGTAGCAGGACATTGGGTATACCCTGAACAGCCTTCACTCCTCTGCACGACAGATGCTCTACAGGAGAGCTCCCATGGAACGGTAAGGGATCCCATGGGCCATTGAGCTCAGTCACATACAGTTGTGATAGATACTGCACCCAAGAGCTTATCCTTATGGAATGAGAAGTTTTAACTTGTGCTTCACTCTCTGAAGGGGGAAAAACAGCAGGCAACTAAAGTAGAAGAGAAAGTATACTGTGGACAGCAAGGCATAGTTAGTTCTGCAGCCCAGATTATCATAGGCTTCCAGTGTATATGCTGATGGCTTGAACTGTGCTTGTGCCAAGGAAAACAGAATGGTTTCCATAGTGAGAACAGAACCTTTTTGATTCAAGTTAATGCTCTGTTCTCTCTCAAGAATCTAAGGACCTTTAAAGATGAAATCTTGCCAGCCCTTTGGGAGCTATAACCCTTATTCAGCTCTCGTTTGTTGCTAGCTTCCTCATGTGCTTTTCAATGAAATTCCTTCAGTGCTAAATTATCTGAAGTCCCTCCAAACCCTCGTGCATCACAAAGGGTTAAAAGTCAGAAGTAGCTTAAAATGGTCAAATTATGGCATCCCTGACAAATGGAGCCTCACTGATGAGATTCTAGAGAATAGTTCCAGATGCTATAGCTGTGTCTAAAATACACAGCCAAGCAGTGCTACCTGGATGTTTTCTCGGGAGGCGTCATAATATCTGATGTTAAATAAGAGTTATACCTCAAAACTTTGCAGGGGCGGGGGAAGGACAAATACTTGTTAATCTTGACAGCTTGCCAAGAGTCATTTAAGCAGTGATTGTTGTACTGGTATGTATCTGTGGCTTAGAATACATTTAAATTCTGTGTTAACTGGTTGATTTCTAGGAGCTTCTTTGGCTTATTTAATTACTATGTGGGAGTGTTCTAAAATTTTTCTTTAGATTTATTAATTGGATTAATAAGTCTGCTGGTACAGAGTTTGTTCTTATCACAGTCACTGTGTAGAGCGAACCTATCTGTAAGTTACTGGTGGAGATTGTAACAGGACCTTCAGCCTTTCTCCTGGGACACAGTAAATGAACACAGCTTTTGGCTAATATGCTAGAAAGGCAGGTCTTCTGACTGATGGGTTATTTGAAGATAATCTTCTCTACCTACTATTTTCATTGGACAGGAGATGGTGTTTTGAAACCACTTTGTCTGCTCACTAGATCCATGTGTTTTGTCTTCAAATTTCCTTTATTCTCTCTTGGTTGTGAGTAAGAATGTCCTTGCTTGGCAGCAGTTAGTAAAATCTAAAATGTCTCTTTCAATCACTTTGCAAATTTAGGCATTCTGAATAAATTAGGGAACTCTGGAGTAGGAATGCAATGTGGATATCAAAAAAGGAACAAAGTGTATTGATGTGAAAAGAAGACAAGAAAGTGACCAGAAGTAGTCAGTGTGGATGGGGAAGTCATGCTTAACCAACCAGAATGCCTTCTACAGTGGGTCAGCTGGCTGGATAGATGAGGGAAGAGTAGTGGGTGTTGTCCACCTGGGCTTCAGGAAGGCTTTTCACACCCTCTCCCATGATAACCTCACAGGAAAGCTCAGGGAGTGCATGACATGTGGACAGTGAAGTGGTTTGAGAGCTGTGTGAATGCCAGATCTCAGGGGACAGCTGTGCTTGGAAGCCTGTCACTAGTGGTGTCCCTCAAGGTCCAATATTGAGTCCATTATTGTTTAGTTTGTTCATCAGTGACTTGAATGAAGGGACAGATGCCTCTTAAGCAAGTTTGTTGATGATTCGAAGCTGGGAGGGCTGTGGAACTCTTCAGAGAGATCTGAGGGCTGGAGGGGTGAAGAGAGTGGAAACTTACTGAAATTCAAGAGAGTCCAGCAGAGGGTGACAAAGGTAATGAGGGGACTGAAGCACCTCACTTGTGAGGAAACACTGAGGGGTCTGGGCCTATTTATCCTGGAGAAGATATGACTGAGAGGGGACCTCATCAGTGCATGTAAGTGTCTTGAAAGGAAGGTGTCACAGGATGGATCCAGGTGTGCCAAGCAATAGGGCAAGAGTCAGTGGAAGAAAAAGAAACTGGAACACAGGTAGTTCCATCTGAATGTGAGGAAGAACATTTTTGCTGTGAAGGTAACTGAACACTGGAACAGCTGCCCAAAGAGGCTGTACAGTCTCTTCCCCTGGAGATATCTGTAGCTGTCTCTAATCAGTCCTGAGTAGAGTGTTCCAAGAGACCCTGCGTTAGCAGGAAGTTTGGACAAGATGACCTCCCGTGGTCCTTACCAACCTGAACCATTCTCTATGGGTGAGCAAGTTTTAGATTCCAGGTGTAGGACTTGACTCAAATGAAGTGGAAAACAGTGAGGGGAGTGACTAATGATTGATATCCTGTACAATAGGCAGGCATATTTTTGTAGTTTGCTGAGATCCATTTTTGCCTGTTTTGTGCAAATACACAGATAATTGAGTAGATGGGTATGAACCTGCTGACTTCAGTGTAGCTGAACTGCTTCGTGTCTGGTGGAGACCTGGCCTGTATGAGACAGTTACCTAATGGAAATGAAAATAGTTAAAAAGCTGCTTGGATCAATTTTTGCTATTTGAACTTTGGATATGAACATAGGAGAATTAAAATTAAGTAGTTTTAATAGATTTTAGTAGTTACATTGTATTGATTTGCTGCTAGTGTTATGGGAATCCTGGAGATGTTTTATTTTGTGTTGTTAGGAGAGCTTGGGTCTTTGTACCGTGATGGTGTATGGTGTCAATATTGCCTCTGCTTGTTGAAGAGAGGATGCTGGAATTCTTGGAGCCTATTCAGGAGTGCAGTGTGTATATTATGAGGGACATGGTGGTCTTGTTTGAATAAACTATTCATGGATAAGATCAGACATGGTAACTAGCCAATGTCATTGCAAAATCCAAATTATGTGCACCTGCATTGTGCTGATTAGGCCAGGGATGTCAAAAATATCACTTGTAGTTAACAATCTCTTGGTTGCCAGCTGCCAGCTTGAGAATTAATTTTCTTTAAAAGGCAGCTTTCTGAGCTGCAGTGAATCTGTCCCAAGTTTGAAGATATTTAAAGTAAATTCACCAGCTCTGCTTTCAAAAGCAGTTAAGCTGTTTTGGTTTTTCACCTAATGTAATGGAGGGAAAAGTGTCCAATTTAGTCTGCTTGAACCATGAAACTGGAATGCATTAATGCCATTCTGGTTTATAAACATGGTGTTTGATATTCCAGATAACATTTCTAAAAACAGGCAAGAAAGTGCTGAAACACTTGGGTAAGCAGTCAAAATGCAGAATAAGGTATATGAACCTACAATCATAAGATCAGGCTTTAGTAAAATTTGTAATGCATCTTATTTGGGGTGAGCTATTTGACAGTTACTTTTTAAACACTTGGCACTTATGTAATACTTTACATTTTCTAATTAACAAAGCAAAAATAGCAAGGTGAAGTCATTCCACTGAAATCACATGTTGATGCAAACATTATAAAAATACCAGCCTGTGGAGTGAGGAAGAGAAGGATTGACAGTCCTTTTAAAAACAAACTGGTAAATGTTGATCTTAAAGGCACTGTTTTTACTGGAACTGATCTGTGGAAGACTGACAAAAAAGATAGCAATATGCACGCACCTCTCCACCCAGCATGGTATAAAGGTGTTCCAAATCAAGGCTGTAAAAGGACTGGCATGCCCTTTGGAAATCAGTGAGGGAGGATGGGAGAAGTAATCAGTCCTGAGTGTTCATGAACAGGAGAAAAATTCTGTCTTCTCTTCAGCAGCAATTTGGGAAGAGTCACCACTTGAGCCAATGATTGAAGTGCGGAAGATGCTGCAACAGCGAAGAGCTCTTCAACACTGTGGTGTAGTGGTGGTGTGCTCTGAAGTGTGCTCTGCTGGGTGGGAATAGAGTTCAATCTATAAAGGCCAGTCAAAATTGCCAGGCTACACATGGTGTAGCCTTAGCAGTAATGTGTTTGTATTATCTTCTGAAAGTAAGGGATTGATCTTGTGCATGTTTCTTTGTTCATTACACAAATTGGACAAAGAAATGGGTTAGTTTCCCTTCTGCCTGGACTTCTAATGTATTTGTACTGCAAGGGATATCACCAGATACCCAAGAAACGCTTGTTTCTACCAGCTCAGTGCTGATGCATCCAGTTTCAGTCGTGTAGTTGTGAGTGTGCCACCACTAAAGCAGATGCTGTGTGGAGGTGCTTTATGCTTCTGTTTTATGTTCAGGAGAGGAACCAGGAATGCCTGTCTGCAGTCTTGTATCCTCATATATAGAGACTAGAAAACACTTTCAAACTTGTGGTTTGATTGTCATATAAGAAATTCACACCTGTTTATTTCCTTGCAAGTGCACGGGGACTCATGTCTCCATAATCTATTCTAATCTATTCTGATTTTTTTTTTTTTTTTGCGCTACTTAGTTGTTTCCTATGAAGCAGAAGTTGAAAGTGTTTTCAGTCAGGCAGATATGAAACAAAGTACAGGCACACCATCTGGTTTCGTAGTAATGTTCTCTGTCATGCCGAGCAAGATTAGATTCTTAAGCTTGAGCAGGAGATCTGCAGGTGGTAGGTGTTCCAGTTAAAAGCATTGCAAGTTCTTCCTTTTCAGCTGAAAGAGTGAGCACATGTTTGGAAGGATCAGTTGGCAGGACTATCCTCCACTGGAGATGTGCAAACAAGGTCTGATCGTCTGGTCACATTGGCAAGCAGGCAAAAAGGAAATTCCATGTCAAAGCTGATGGATAACTAGAAAAAAAATATAGTGTAAATTTTATTTGAGTCTTTTTCATTCTGTAACAATTTCACTCTTTATATGGGTGCATAATGGGCCCACCTGAGATCAAAGTTCCATGTGCTTTGGTATTGTACAAACACCCAACAAACAAATTAGTCTAAAGATAGTGACATAGGATCAGAAGTGACATTAGGTCACATGGGGGTGCAGTGACCAACTTGTAGTCACTCAGTGGTCATTGGCAGAATTGATCTAGCTGCTGTTGCTTTCTAATGCAGGGCCTAAGCAGCTGGCATCTTTGCTGTATACTATTGCTATGAATCATTCTTTTTCCAGAGCAACCAGTTTGATTTTCATAATTTCAAAAGCCTTGTGAAATCCTTCTTGGGAAGTAATGTGATGTGTTTAAAATGAAACTGTGTTGACAAAAACTTAATCTCTCAAGTCATCAGATGTATAAATAAAGTACTCTGCCTGAAAGCTGTGGTCTGTCTTTATCAAAACTATTTACAGCATTGTCATTGATTTCTGTGTCTAGAGATGCCTGGATGGAAGTTACTTTTATTGCCACACAATGTGAACTCAGTCGCTCTAAGAACCCAGACTGACTTTCTAATTTAGTGCTGGTATTAGTGATTCTGTTGTCAAAGTTCATGTGATTGATGAAACAGAATGTGGTCTTCAGGGATCCAGTGGAATTTTTTGTTACCCAATATGATTTCCATGCCTGGTACAATGAGGATTGAAACTTGCTCACCCTGCATGGTGCTACTAAAAGATTTTGAAGTTTCTGCACTGAAAATCTTCAGTCAGTGGATTCATGGGAGAAGAAAGAAGGTGCTAGTTCTGGTGTCAGAGTGCCATGGAAACAGATGTTCACTGTTTTCCTTCTCTTTCTAGACTGAACAGCAGTATTGTTAGACCTGGTGTTTTAAAATATAAACACTGAGTCAATCTGGATCTCTGCAGGGCAGAACTTCCCTCTTTTTACTCATCAGTCATTAGAGTTAGACTTACCTGGGTGTACTCTGTAAATGTGAGCCTGACCTAGAAGGGGTTAAGGTCATGCTACACTTTGCCATCATCTGAAATAAGAACTGAGATCTTAACCCCTTCAAACTCTGCTTGCAGAGCAATTTTTTTTTTCTTGTCTCCAAAGTGAGTAACTGATATGAGAAAGTTGTGATGCACACCTGGCTGTAAGCACTAGGACCTAGAGGTAAAAGCTGAGTTTCAGGAAAGCACAGGAAACAGTGTATCTGCCTCATCTGAACCACACAGAGGGAAGTTCATATGGATGACTGGATATTTTAGCATCTTCCTGGGAGAATTACTCAGAGAAGAGGGGGTTATCACTTCTTTTCCAAGTTGCTTGCTGCTTGGCCTGAATTATTTGGTGATACTCAGCCATCCATTTTCAGGCTGTTAATGGCCTTTCATTGTGTGGACATTGTGCTCCAGTGCTGGTTGAAAGAAGCTTCCAGGATCCTTAGATGACCATAAAAATGATTGACTAGGAAATTAGGCAGCTCTTAATTAACTGGCTTGTAATTTCATTGTCTGGGTTCGTATTTGTCTTTAGAGTCATGAGTGATAACTCCATATCTACCTTGTGAATGCGCAGGTAATGGTCTTTTATGCTTTATATTTATTTGTTTTGGGGGTTTTTCCCTCGCAGCTGTGTGGGTCATCTGGTAGCTTTTGGAGGGGCAATGTAAGTGAGTTTTGCTTTGTGAGTGAGTTTTGCTTTTCTCTTTGTAGATGCTGGCCAAAGCAAGTGTCGATTAGAGCGAGCTCAAGCGCTGGAACAGGCAAAGAAGCCTCAGGAAGCAGTCTTCATCCCAGAATGCAATGAGGATGGATCTTTCATGCAGGTAAAATTTCTGTTTGCTTCATTCAGCCAGGCTTCAGGTGTCTGTGGGAGATTCAGTGTTAAGGCATGAGCCAAGTGATGATAGCAGAATGGCTGCACAATCTGACCCAGTTACTTGGGTAAAAATTTGAAAGCTGGGAACTTTGTTAACCAAACAGAAGTTTTGATTCAGTCACAATACCTTAAAAGACATACACATATGCAACAGCATCCAGCTCCAGTGTAATACAGAAAAAAATGGCATTAATTTTCAGCATTGCATAGGCAGAAAAACAGTTGCAGGGGAGGTCAATTTTTCCATGAAGAGGGGCTGTAAAGAGAGCTGTGGCTTACACACAGAGCAGGCTGGATGCAGCGGATTCTGCTATTACCTCTGCTTCATCTATCCCAGGGAAAAAACCAGTCTGTTCAGCCTGTTCCTTCTGCTGGTTACTTCTTGTACTCTATGTCCTGTAGTGATTTGGAGGACTGGCAGAGAGGAGAGGAGACTGCTTTGTTTGGGTTTTTGATTCCTCACTGTTCAGTTGCTGAAGTTTGCCAGAGCAGGGTAGATACCTGGTTCTGTTACCACTAGCATATTGAGCAGTGTCCTAGTGCTGACTGAACTGGCTGTTAAAAATGGCTCATGCACAGTTTCCTGACACAGTGTCATGCTGTCTGCTCAGTTCTGCATGCATATAAAAAGCCAAAAACCTGCAACCCTGTGACTTCTACTTTGTGGGTTTAGGTAAATCACAGAATGTTTTTTGCCTAACCTTCCATACATTTCGTACTGCTCTAGGCACCTTCTTTCTTGGAGAAATTTTAGGATACATTGGTTGTTTGCAAGGTCTTCTGAAGGTAAAAGAAAGTCCAAAACAGAATCAATATTGTCTTAAAAAAGATGAGAACAGCAGAGAACTTTGGATTTGGTTCAAACATTTTGTGATGCCTGGGGGGATAGGAGAGGAAAGATTTTTTTTTTGTGATAACCCACCAAAAATTTTATTCCCCTCCTCAGCCTTACCCTCCCATTATCTGGTGTGTGGGAGTGTTTTTGTTTTGTTTTTGTTTTTTGATGATGATGTAGAAAAAGTTGTATTCATCCTGCAAACTCTGCATGCTTCTTTAGAGCAGCATTCTGTTTCTGTACTGTGTGGACCATCATGGTAAGGTTGGGAAAGGAGAAGATGGCTGCAGTTTCTTGCAGTTTAAATGCACTTTCAATTGTTGAAATTTGATTTTGTGTAGAGCTTCTCAAATTCTGTTGGCAGTGGAGGCTAATGTTTATAAAAGCTAGCACAGTGGGCCAACATGGAACAAAGTATTCCATGTTAAACTTCATAGTTCAAGAAAAAAGGGGGAGGAAAGCAAACTTTGAAATGTCTGTTGCCTGTCCATCAACCTCTTGGAGAGGAAAGTAGGTGAAATTTTTATCCTTATAAGAGATAAGGCTGGACTGATAGTATAGTTGATAAAGCTTTGTTTCAGGCAGGTTTATTTTGAAGGTTGGTACCAGTGTTTGGATTGTGGAGAAGTTGCTGGACTTTTCCTTGGCACATTCCTTAGCCAGTGTTGGTTGCCAGTTGAAGGGCAGCATGAAACTGCTTACAAAAATTGTGTGGTGTCAGTTGGCAGCCAAGTGATATTTTACATTCTTCCTCCATTCAGTTCTATCTGTGAACACTAAAGTGCTTTTGTTTTACCTGGCAAGATGAAGGAAGCCTCTGATCTCTTTGTATCTGGAATTAACTGAAATTCATATAATTCCTTGGTTCATAAAAATACCCTGTGTTCCACATACCTCATGAACCAGCTTCATCAGTTATATTGCAGCATTTAAGGTAATCGTCCCTGCGTAAGATTTAAGTGAACAATAGTGTCCAAGAAAGCTAACTAGTTTCAACAGGCTTTTGAGACAAATATTTCCTTTAGCTTCTGGTCAAAAGGAATTAAATTTTGATTTAAAAAAAGATGTATAAAGACTAGAATTTTGGTGAACACTCTAAACAGTTTTGCTTCCAGCAACTCATTAATAGATCTCATCTGGTGGAGGTATTTTTGATACTGCTTCTCTTGTGTAGAGAATTGAAGCTCCTGGGTTTTGCTCTACAGGGAAGCTGTGTTCTTGTGAAGTCCCTGAGGTCTTGCTGAAGTCAGCTCTGGGCTGTTGTTAGTTTATTCTTAGTTGGTTCAATACACAGAGTGTTGCTCCATCTAGACTCCAAAATCTCAGATGGGAAATCTACAACAGAACAGCATCTCTCAATGAAGTTTCTAGGAAAAATACTCACTGTGCTCTTCAACATGGAATCCCCATCCCAACGAGAGTCTAAGTAGATGCACATGTTTCAGGGTATATAAAGTTGGCTAGGGAGACTTTTTCAACAACTTCCCCCTTTCTGTGTAACTGTTACTGAAAGGGAGTTTTATGTAGAAGAAAAATTCTGGTCAAAGATGCAGGCATATATTTAGAATATCAAATGTCTGAATTGTTACAGCACTCATTCAAGATGTAGATGACTTGCTTTCAGGTCATCTTGCTGAGCCAAATGAACACAGTAGGTATTCAGGCCCACATCAGTGTCCTTGCCATCAGACTTCAAGAGTCTGATTTTTAATTTAACTAATTAATTAATTGTTGGAAATTCTTGAAATTTTTGTAGGACTGAAAAACAAGAGCAGTACAGATGTGGGAGAATTTGATAGTAGTGACTATGTTCAGAAAACCTGCTTGGCCTTAACTAGATTGAACTTTACTTTTGTAGTTCATCATAATTATCTTGATTAAAACTAAACTGCAATCACTCTGGGTAAACACTGAAAGTGGGGCTGTTCCTCTGAGAACAGCTCCAGTTTGCCCTTTCCAGCTGTCAGAGCTGTAGCCAGTTGGATGCTGAATTTGGGGCTGCATGCACTGTGGAGTGCATGGGGCTGCAGGGGCTGATGAGAACGCAGCTCCTCTGCCGCTCTGCGAGCGGGAGCGTGCGCCACGTGGGCAGCGGCTGCAGGAGGAAGACCATGCTCACCTTACTTCCTCCTGCTTCCCTGCAGGGCTAGATCTACCATAGTTAGATGTGGCAACAAGGGTGAAAAGGAGAAGAGCCTAAAGGCAAAGACCTTAGTTTGGCTTGCGTTTAAACCCTTTTGTAGACAGACATCGTGCATGTCTTAAAACACTTGTATGATCTGTCTGGTTTTCATTGCCTGTGAAATTTAGACCAAAATCAGTGTTGCCATCAATTCTGTTGCCCAGCTGATCAGTTTTCCAGTTTTCTTATGCATGACTAGGTATAATGGGGTTTGTGTACTGCATTAAGAGGAGCTGGCACTTGTCAATTCACTGGCTGTCTATGCAACATGTGTGCTGCTTCCCTTATTGTTGAGTATATGTATTGCAAAGATCTTATCAAATCCCTTTTAGTGCTACTTAAGCATCTACAAATGTGACATGGATTTCCAGGATGAAGAAGTGGTGCCACTTGCAGGCATGGGATGACTGTAAATGGGAAGCAGGCCTGATTAGTTCCTCTGGACTTGCTGTGTCTCTATATTTCAGTCTGTGTGGGGAATATTACTTCCTATAACAAAATCTCTCTACACTTAGCCCACAGTAATATAAGCAGGCAGATAAAATTTGAGTTATTCACAACATAAGAATGTTTGTTAGATACGAGTAATTTGATTAATTGTAGAAAACTGAGGTCACATACTGTTGTGCAGAACTAACCATGACTAAAACCAGTTTGTGTTCCCAAGACTCTTGCCTTTTTGCTGGTATGCTGTATTTTCCATAAATGCCATTCCTTTTCCATGCTGCACTTAACCTGCTGTGATCTGTTCTTCGTAAACAACAGGCACTAGTGGGTAATCTGCGCACTTTCTTTTGCTGCCTAGTGCCATTGGGCTTGTTGCCATGGGCTGAAGGAGACTTGCATTCTTCATAGTTTTTCCCCAAGCAGTTTTTCAGAAAAGGTTGCTGAGATTTTAAATGGGATCTGTTTCAGACAGATTAATATGAACATGAATAATGTTAATCCTGCCTTGGGGGTGTAGTCTTGTGGGACTTTGTGGTATGTCTTGCTGTTTGTTGCCACCTTCCCCTGTCTAGTTGTGGTTTCTTTTGCTCACAAGTCTGCATAAAACTGAGGGCAAATCTTCTTGGAAAATTTCTTTGAGTTTAGGGTTCTTAAAATCTGTCTCCTGGTGCAGTTATGATGTAGTACTGAGATTTTTTTTTTAAAGTGAGGGCATCAGTCAAACCTGTGGTCTTATGATAGGTCTGATAGTCAGCCCCTCTTAGGCTGACTATCAGAGCAGTTCTGCATTATCAGATAGCTTCCAGAGCATTACCACAACTTGTCATATAAGTCTGCTTGGAAAGAGTGATCTGTATTGCGGTCCATACCAGTAGTTTCTCTCTGCACTATGCTAATGCACATTAAAAGTTCTGTTTTCTCCCAGGTTCCCCAAACAGCCCTTTCTAAAGATGTGGGGAACCCTTTCAGCATTCAGTGTGACATTATGATCCAAGTCTGCTCCTCTGTATTGGCTAGTGTAGCATGATGCTAGGCAGAATTACAAACTCACTTCCTAATGCAGCAGGGTACTGTGTAGACATGTTCTTCATTCCCTGGATGCTGTCTGTTATTCCATTATTCAGTGTTCAGATTCCAGCAATACTAAGCTCTCAAAGAATTCACCTCTCCTTTCAGAAGAACACAGTCTATCTTGCTAGATTAAAAAAAAATTCTTTGTAAAGCGTCTGATTTTTAAATGGCAGGTAGTTCTGTTTTTTTTTTTTTAATTAAAATATATCTCTTCTATAGAAGATGGCAGCTGTAGCTTTCTGTGAGTACTGCTCTGGAGGTTTGCTACTTAAACACTTGCTTTCTTCCTGTGGCTTTCATTGTGTTTCTCATTTGTATGTTATGCTAAAGATAAACCATGAGTGGGTAAGGAGGTAAAAACTTTGCTTATTTATGGCATTTCTTCAAAGAAGTACCAGTTGAGATAGCAAAGGAACAGGTTCTTAAAGAGAGAGTGGACATATTTAAGGGAGGTGACAATGTAAGTTCATTCTTAGCTTCAAAGTGTCACATTCTGTGTCAGAAGCAGAAAGCCTCTCTTGAGGACCCTTTTCCTGAATTGAACTAAAAATAACATATGTGCCAGCATGTGTGATGGGGATGCCTTTGATCATGATTAAGATTCTTTTGCTTCAGATCATTTCTTTCCCTGGTTATGTGAACAGTGAAATTCCCATGGAGGAAGCATTTCTTGAGTAGTGCATAGGCTTGAGGGAGGTGATGCTGCATAAAGCCCTGGTGGGAACATTTGCACAACACCATTTGTGAAGAATTAAATATGAGTGGAGAACAGAAAAAGTGACAAGAATTGTTTAAGGGGCTGCAGTCCCAAAGAGGCATAAACACAAGATGCAGACTAATTCATAGCTCCCCTAAAATTACCTATAAAGTTAAGGCAGCTTCTGACAATAATCAGCGGACTCCTAATGTAGCAAAAAGTATAACAAGATGCAGGGTCTAAGCATTACAGCAAGACATGTGAACCAGAACAGAGGATCACCATGCAGGGTTGAGATAAATAGCCATCAGGCCGGTGTGCAGTTGTGTACCACTAACTTGGGTTCAGAGGACTTACCTAGCTGAGCCTCAGAGGCTTAAACAAAGGAAAGACTTGATTAAAGTATTGCTGTGTCACACTGGCTTCTGCTCCCTGGGTCTGACTAGATGACCTGCTGGCTTGGAGCTATTTATTTAGCTGTTTTTACAGTGTTTACAAGGAGCACCTGGATGCAGCCAGGATTTGGAGCCTTGCCTGGTGCTGTGAATGCAGTCAGTAGCTCTGCTGCCTGCCCTTAGCCTCAGCAGTGCCATGCAAAACCTGGATGTGTTTTTTCTTTTCTCATAGAAGTATAGCTTTCAATACAGAGTGAACGTTCTTCCCTTCTCGTCTCTGCCCTCCACTGTGGAAGGAGCCAGGAAATCCCATCTGTGATGGGATAGGAATGGATTGCTAAACATTTTAAATCTGAACAGCAGTGAGAGGCTAGTCTGAGTGCTCCTGTTGTCAGCCCAGTGCTTGTCCAAGGCTCCTTCAAGCCTCTTACAGCAAACTACCTCTTCTTGTGACCCCATGGAAACTGGTTTCAGCCATCACAGATTTGCTGCTTTGCCTCTGTTCTCTCCATCATATGTGTACACAATTTCTCACTTCCAGTTTCTATCTGAGCAACATCCCCATGATCCTCATTTGTTAAATAGTTCTAAAGGGATGCTGCTTGCTTGTCTAGAAGCTTGCTTATTTAGAAGCTTTATTTGGGAATCAGGTTCTGGCATTGCCAGTGAGATACCCAAAGTATCTCAGAAAGATTGAAGAAACCCAAAGGTTTCTTTTCCCCCTGAGGAACTTAAGAGTCAGAGTTATCACCCAATGACTACTCTTTTAATGCTTACATATTGTAAGGAATTTTGAGAGCAGGTGTTTAATCATATGGCCAGTATATTGGCAGCTGTTTGATTTCACACATTGCAATGGCAGGGTGGAATAGGGAAACTGCTGCTACACTTTTAATTTGGGGAGTGGTGATATAGAGCAATTTTTCTTGGGTTTGTCCCTCATGCTTTTCATCCTTCAGTTGAGACACAGGTAAGATGACCTATCTCTCCATGAAAAATAGGAACAGTGTCCTTCTGCATGATCAGGGATTTGGCTGCTTGCAGTGCTTTAAAATGCAATTGGATTTTTTTTTAATATGTAGATGTTATTGGAGAATCTGTTGAAGACCTCAGATGATATACAGGTTTTATTTATCTGATTTCCTATTATGTAACTTAGAATACAGCTGTTGGACAGGTTCTGTCATGTGCCTTTCCAGCAGTAACAGGCATTCTGTCACTGCAGCTCAGTTAAATCAAGTCTATTAAGTGTATAAGATTGTATTTTAGTATATAAGATTGTATTTCCTCTGCCTCAGTGCTTAGCTTTAGAAGACTGAGAGCCAAAAAAGTCAAACACACTTTCTCTAACATGTATTTTGATAGAGTCAAAATTAACTCAATAACTGAAGATTAGATCTGTGCAGTAAACATCTGTCATGATTGCATACTTACTTTCCTGATGATAAGTGTTTAAAAATCTCACTACTTTGGGAGTAGGATGAGAATGAGGTTGAATTTTGGGTTGGCAATTGAAAATTTATTTAGAAATAAAAGCTCAAATGTAAGATCAATGGAAAATTTTAAAGTAAACCCCCAAATTTTGGATATTTGCTGCCGGAGGTGCTCTGAAATAGTTGACATTTTATGTTTGTTTACACACAGTGCTTAGAAAGGGTACTGGATCAGCTGTTGCCTTTACACTTTTTTCAGTGTTATACCAGTCTTACGTAAGTGACGAAGAGTTTACTTTCCCTCCCAGTCTTTAAGCTGCAAACTCTAGGCTGTAGGCCACTGTTATGACCCTGAATTGTGCTGAAACCTGGTCAGGTATCATGCTGAAAGGTCTCAGTGTGAGGACATTCAGGAAAAACAGCTGCACTGATTCTGGAGATTTCTGCAGTGCCCATTCTTCATGGGTAGCTATCTTTGGGATAATGGCTGAGCTTTAATTGCAGCTGTTATCTGTAGAAGGGAAGTCCTTTTGTACTGCAGTAAAACATATGGTTGTGGTTGTTGTGAAAGTGCTGAGTGCTGTCAGTCTCAGATTTTTTTTTCTTCCCTTTTTTTAATGGCAATTTCTTTCTTTTCTTAATGGCAACATGGGGGCGGGGGGGGGGTGTGGGGAAGGTCATGGGATACCAGTCCAAGGAAGATTAGCATTTCTTAGCCTAGTTATTTACAAAATTACTTCACTTTTTTCATGGATGTAATGTGCTTGGCTTGCATAAATGAGTGTGTGTAATTCGTAGGTCTGCACTGAGGTGAGTTACATAACATACTTAGTTAATGCATCTATCCCGAATTTGTGTCAATATATTTTTTCTGGACTCCTCTGCCATGTACTTTGTTTTTCTGAAGGCTTGGCTAAAGGACTATCAAGTGACTAATACTTGAGTTTTTTAAATGCTGGGTACACTGGATTTTTTTATATAATCTAACATGGAATGGTCTTGCCCTAAAAATTTGAGACCCTATCCTGGCATTTAGCTCTATCCCTTGGTAGGAATTTTACAATTAATGCAATGTAAAGACAGCTTCTTGTGCTGTTGGGAATGCAGTCTTTTGTGTGTGTGATCAGCAAAGATAAACTCTAAACACAAACCCGAGCAGATCCATCACATTTGTTTTGACTGTTCAGTTGATTTCATTGAGCAATAACAAATATTTCCTAACTTGATTATTGCTTATTATAGTCATAATGCTTTTGAGTAATTTGGAATCAATATTGTGATATATTGAGAGAGGAAAAATTAATCTGCAAATAGCAGTGACAGTGACTGCAGTAACATGGGTACATGAGATGACTGTTGATTTTGGCTACTAAAAGTAAATGCTTGAGGCAAAATGATTGATTTGCACTTTAGTAAAACCCAAGATAAACAAGTAAAACCCAAGATAAACACGACATACTGTGTTATAATTGCTCTTAGATCATGTTTTATGTGATATTCAAAGCCTTTAAAAAAAACTGTCATTAAGTCTCTGAACAAACTTTGCTACCTTAGGGCATTGAAGCCAGCTGTCAGAGAGGGGGAATGACTGGTTTTGCTCTGAAGGATCCCTAATGAGGGGACCAGCACAAACACCCCATCACTTTTCTCTTCTGTGTGAAGAGGACTGGAATTGGAAATTGGTTTCAATGAACTTGTTTGGAAAAAGAGAGAACGGACAGGATTCATTTTACATGTAAAATAAAAAGGCAGCTTCTGAAATGGTCTCATTTAATGGCTTTTTTTCTGAAATGTATTGAAGGAGCCATCTCTAGGTTATAGTAACAGGATGCTCTTCTATACTATTTCAAGGTATTGATGTGCACATTTAACTCCATCTGAAAGTATGCTGGTTAGAAAGAATTTTGGGACTGGTTAGTGTTTACACAGATGCCTGTACAATGATAGTTTACTTTTATCTCAAAGATGTCAAAGGCATTCTGAATTTCATCCAGTTGCTGGCTACTCTGGAAGCTGAGGCAAAGGCTGTCATTAGATTTGTTAGGCTGAATGAAATTTTAGTGGTGCTGAATTAATATCTACATAGATGTTACTAAGAGCAGTCTGCTAGATCAGAACTTATTTATTCTTACTTGAGAGGTTCTGTATCTGAATTGGTAATTCTGGTGTCTTTGTGTGGTGAAGGAAGGAACTGGGCAGCTCTAGATGTTCAGTTCAGAAGTAGAGCTTTAAAGTCAATCAGGATTAATTTTATACTGTGTACCTTTGACTCACTAGACCCTTCATCAAATGTTCTTCTGTCCATGTCAATATGTGAGGAGCAAGTATGTTGGATCTTGCTCCATCTGTGTAGTTCGACATAGTAACACAATAGAGCTTAAATCTACTGGAGAAGGTTTGTTAACCAAGTTGTATTGTGCTTTTCTAGCTGTGTTACTGAACAAAATGCTTCTGAAATGCCTGCAGATTCTGCTCTCAAGGAGTGGCTATGGAATTTGGGATAAGGTGGCCTTTCCATAACCCAGCTGGGATGCAGCGGGACAAGTTTTTAATAGTAAATAGTAAGTGTGATGTAGCAGAGGGTGGAATGAACTGAGACACAACTGCTGCATCTCCCAACTAAAGTGTTCTCAGATGATTACTTGTAACTTTTGCCTCCTGAATTTCAGCTACAGGAGTTGGAGAAATCACCTTCCTTTGGGTGTGGGCAAGGTGAGGGAAGAAAAGGTAATGATATCAAAGGTAGTCTTCTGTAAGACCATGTCGCTCTGGAGCATGTGTTTGTGATGCCTCTGGGTTGGGACTTCCAATAAGATGCTGAATGATAATAAAGTGGTTGGTTATAGAGTGAGAAATGAAATGCCTGCTCTTTGTTTTATTAAACAGGTGCAGTGCCATACCTACACTGGATACTGCTGGTGTGTGACACCTGATGGAAAGCCTATTAGCGGCTCTTCTGTACAGAACAAAACTCCTGTATGTTCAGGTACTGTGGGAGTGGCTTCAGCAAATACTAACTTTATAACCAGAGGGTTGGGGTGAATGCATCCTTCTGAGGGCCCAGTCTTCCAGGTTACTTGGCCAGTTTACCCCACTTAATGCTGCACTTTGGCCTCTGGCATGTCCACCCTGCAATTAGGATACAGACACTTCTGCAAGGCTCAGTAAGAAAAAACCACTAAGGTGACAACCTGTGGCAGCCAAGGCAAGAGTCAGTGTTGCTGTGTACACCAACACTAAAGATTTGCTGAACAGATGGGATAACTTTTTTCCATGAGCTATATTATAATTAAATGGTTCTTGGGCTGTATTTTGTGGAACATGGAGTAATTTTTTGTACAGAGTGATTTCAGTTAATTCCTGAAGGTGGTTCTGTGCAAAACTGTCAGTTTCTGGGGTACTGCTGTTATAATGAATTTGGGTCTTTTGGCCACGTTGCTTAGTTTAGGATCCCTGTGTTTGTGTCATGGTGTGGACAACGCTGGGCTTGCGCCACAGCTCACAAGAGGGAGGTCCAGACCCAGGCTGTTACTCATGTTTATTAAGTGATGTGTTTCTGGGCACTGAGCCTGACATTACTTTGTTGCCCAGCAGTTTATTGAGACCAAAACCATACGTTTCTTTAAAAAAGAGTAAGGTTTTTCTTTCTCCTCCACACCATTTGATATGGTAGTCCATGGCTCATGTGGAATGAGGTTGGGCTCCAGATTTTCATATGGCCCTGATCAATAGTGGTCTAGTTTTGTGAGCTGTTGTGAACAGTCCTGCTGTGACAACACCACAGTAAACATAGACAGGGTTGTTCTGGACTTTGGGGAGAATTGAAGGACAGCACTGGAATTGTGCTGCCCTTCTCACTTTCCTGTCTCCCCCCCCCCCCCCCAAAAAATTAAAGAAGAAGGAAAAGGCAGTAAGCATAGGAGTGTGTTACAACGTTTGGTGTTGCCACGTGGCTTCATGCTCTACAATCTGCACCTCAGGGGGTTTTAGTATAGTTCTCTCACACCTTGCAGCATTTGCCCTTTAGGTTGGAGCATGACGGCAGTCAAACCTTTGGGATTTTGATTTTTTCCTCACCTTATACGGTGTCCTCTTGGCTGTAGGGTGTTCTGTGGTAATAAGCAAACTTGCACTTATTACTTGTGGTAATAAGTGACTTGCATAAGGGTTTGAGTTGAGTGGGAGAGCTGTCTGAGAACCAGTGACCCAATGTACCTTGAGGAGATGCTTGGTTTTTCACAGGCATGTGGAAAGAAAAAAATTAAGACCCTATTTTATTAGTGTAAGGTGCAATCCTACAATAATTTGGCTTAAACCTTTAGAATATGACATTATGACACCACTTCCAGTATAACATTTTGGTAGGGCATGTTTTGGACTTTTACTGATCTATTCCGTTAGTCTTGTGCTGCTTATCATGTTGCAGAAAAGTAAAGTCATGTTGTACTGTAGGACACAGATGTTAGACATCTGATGACTAATACTGCATTTGTGCTTACAACTTGTAATCTACTTGTAATTCAGCAGTAGATCTGTGATGAACTGATTTGCAAGTGAAAGTGTCCAGGCAATAATTTTTCAGAGTTTGTCTTGATCAGATTCTTGGGGCTGTCAGAGCTACCTCCTTTAAAGCTGATTTTTGATCCATGTTTCCTAAATGTTCAGTAATCATTGGAATTGTTTAGTAATGGTGCATGGAAGAATCAGTTTCCTGTGAATAAAGCTATTAAAAAAAAGAGAAAAAAAAAAGAAAAAAAAAGCTTGTCACAGATTTTTATACACTTCAGTAATGGATTTATTTGAAAAGCTTTTATTACCTGTTCTAGTTTTAATAGAAAACTGTGATGAAGCACTAAAGCAGAGTGCAGAACCAAGCATAGAATCATACATACTACATAAAGATCCTAGTTATAGTAAACAACCCAAGATGTGTTCTGTTCAAGTACATGCTGGATCTTAGTCAGTGTCCCATTTCAAACAGCTGGGGATGTTCAGGGGTTGGTTGAAATCCATTTTCTGCAAATTGTCCCACTTAATCCCTTTCCTCTGGAATACTGTGCTTGCATTCCCTGCACACTCTCCCCATCTGCTTTTGATTTGTTCTTCCTGACATTTGCAAATGAAAGAAGTGACTCTTACTGATCTTTCCTTCTTGCTTTTGGATTTATTCCAGGTTTCTTACTAACATGATGCTCTGCTGAGGTCTTTTAAATCACTAGATCCAGCTACTAAAGACTTCTTGTTTACCCTTATCCCAATTTAATGTCTTAATGCATAAAACTTCCCTATACTTTTCAATTTGGTTGAAGCCACAGGCTCTCTGAGTCTTAAATGGAGCTGTTGACAAGTAAAATAGATGCTTTATAGGTTGAGAGATTGACTGTATTATTGTGACATCATATGCTCTGTGTGATCATGCAGCATCTAAATGGATGTCTTTTCTTCTTTTTTTTTTCTCCCTTTAGGTTCTGTAACTGATAAACCATCGAGCCAGGGTAATTCGGGAAGGAAAGGTGAGTGGAGTCCTGTGCTTCACCAACTTTTGTAACAGCAGCTGCCCAGCCAAGTCCCTTAAGATAGCTCAGAACATGGGTTCCTCACCAGCTCCAAGGTGCAGGGGTGGATATGCCACTAGAGCTCCCCTTTCAGGAGGAGGAATAAGATGACTGTTCTGCTCCCTGTGGAGTAGAAAAGGGTGTTCTCTGCTCTGTGCTTCTCAGCTGAGTTGAAGTACAAAAAATCTGAGCTTCCCAAAGGAGTGGATGGTCCAGAATAACCTCTGCTTGTTCACCTTGAAGTAACATACTGAGCATTTCTCAGTAAAATCCCTAGAGATTAGGAAGGCTGTCAGTATGATCTGTATTCTGGGAAACATGAGTGCCAATGTCATGGTTGTGGCTTTGTATGCGTTGAAAGTTGGGTTTTTTAACAGTGCATAAAACTCTCTGGCCAGTTGGAGCAGTGCTGAATTAAACCTTATCAGTGCCTGGAAACCTCACAGGCATTGATTCTCCTTCTTTACACTCCTGTCTTCAGTCCTTGCCCTTCCTGATCAAGGCATTAGATGGGTCATTGTTCTTCTCCTGTGAGTATTCATAGCTCTTCCCTGTGTCCTCTGGTTTGCGTTTGCTGCAATGGTTTTGGGAGGGCTGATCACTGAAGTATTGAGGAGCACTCAAATATGTCTTTAGGCCTTTTCCACACCCTAATTTTCAGCCTTTTCCCCCCCCTAGCCCCAGTGGAGGAGAGTCAACTTTGACTTTGTCTCTGTACTCCAGGAAAGCTGTGCTGAATGCATCCTCACTTCTGCTGGTGAGGATGAATGCTTTTTCCTGGGAGAAGTTCCTGTTTTGATAACCAGAGCAGGATTTTTAGTGCTGACTCTCTAAACAAGTTATTCCTGACACTTCAGAATGAAGGAAAACACTGACTTTGGTGCCAATACTTTGAGGGACATCTTCCATGCTGGGAATGTCAATCAGGTCCTGAAAGCACTTAATGGGGATTCAGAGATCTATTTTGAGCATATCTGCTCTGCTGCCTATCGCTTGTATATAATAGCTTAAGGTAAGGAGAAGAAATATGCAAGGAAAACTACTTAGCTGAGACTGAATACTGAAGCCTGTTTCTTATTTTAAGTAAGGATATGTCTCTTTAAACCTGTAATTATGCATTAATGTGTAATTGGCACCTGAACACATGGTTATAATTCTGTTAATGCAATCATTGCCAGTCTAGCCTGAAGTACAAGCAAATCAAATAGCTCTTGAAATCTGCATTATTTTGGAGTTATTTGTAGGCTTTTTACCTGGGTAGTCCTCGTCTGTTCTAGAATTGAAAGCAGCTGACATTGGATTTCATGAGAAACAGGAGCAAAAGAGGAAAACATCTGAAATTGTTTTTTCTTCCGCACTCCCTTTATTAATTGAGGGGTTGGAACATGCAAAAAGAAAACTGTAAATGGTATGAACTAATTTAAAATTTGTAATATAAATTGATTCTCCTTGGTGCTGCCTGTGGCATCCTGTTTCAAGGATGGTATGCTTGGTCATGTGGCTGCAGAAACGTCCTGTGCAGTAGCTGTCAAAGGGGAAGCGTTTCCCTTTGGGCCAGAACGCTTCAAGCAGTCATGTAAACTTTGTCTCCTGCAGTTCTGAATCTGTTCATATCTGCTAGAAACCCACACATAAGCAAGTCTGGCCCTATTCCATCATGTTAGAAAAATACTTACGAACAGCTATTTAATGGGTCTTTGAAAATCAAGAGGGCTTTTAGAAGCTGTAATAATTTGGTTTAAAATTTGATGGACATAGCATTACTTTTTCATCTTGTGGTGAAAATGACTAATCTAAAAATGAATTCATCCTTCTTATCAGTTTTTTTTTCCTTGCCTTAAGTTACCTTGATTCAAAATTCCTGTGTCAGGTCCTGTTGGAAGGAAGCTGGAATCAAGAACAGCCTGGCTTTCTTGAAGTAAGGTGGTTGCTGCAAGTCTGGCTTCTCTGAATACTGATGGCAAGCCAGCATGCACATAACCATTTGTTCTAGCTGAGTGTTCAGACACTTGCTGCAAAGATTACCCTTTGCAAGGTGACAAAAGGGGCAGAATGAAGAGAGGCCCAGCAGGAACTGGGTCAGTGATGACTCTTCTGTTGCAGCAGCACAGCCTGGAAACTTCTGATATTTCTTTGGGCAACTGCCATCTGATTTGGGAGCTTTTGGAATTTTCCTGTTGCACAGCAGACTCCCCTCTCTCTCCATCCCTGAGTGAGGGTCTTGTAGTCAAAGAGCATATCTGGCACAGAATAGGTACTCTGAGGAAGACAAAGAATAGCTAAGACTTTCAAAAGTGATTTATTTTTTCTCATTCATGCAGGAATGTAAAATATGAGCTAATAAACTCCATGCCTTTCAAGTCTTCAGGGCAAAAGGGTGGAGGCTGCTCTGCCTTAGAAACAGTGTGGATGGGTAGGCTTATGCTGCTGGCTAATAAATGAAGACTTTACTAGCATATTAGCTCTCCTTTAGAAGAAGCAAATTAATGTTGGAAGGAGAAAAAGGCTGGTTATTGGTAATAACTCTTTCTCCAGATCTTTTGCCCTCTTTTCCTTCCTGTTGAGCTCTAATTTCTGGGGCTCAGTAGGTATGTTGGAGTACCGGAAGATATGAGGTAGCACATGATTCCGCTCACAGGCTCTCTCATTACTGATAGGAAGAAAACAAAATGGCTTTATGTTCATGTGGCTTGGCATGTAGTTCCAGAAAGTGGTTCTGTGGAGCTTTCTACAGAGAACAAGTAAGCATGCTGGCAAGAGGTGGTGCTTATTTCTAAATTCCGTGCTCTGGTTATCCATATTTACATTGCTGCTATTGCTGTATGATGCAATGCCAGTTAATCATACAATTTAAATGCCCCATAAGGTAATTTAAATCATACAATTTAAATGCCCCATAAGGTAATTTAAATCAAATTAAATTGGCACCAAAGCTAAAACTTTAAAATAGGCCATATTGATTTGTTCTGTGCCTGAGAAGTGTTCAGTTGCTGGGAGGCAGAGCAGACCTGGGCCTGAGGAGATGGAAGTGTGTTTGCATGAGGTGGAATGGAAACCCAGGCCCTCCAGGGCATGCTTGCTTTGTGACTTTGCAGCTCAGACACTTGCCAATGTCCTTTTTGTGCTGAATTTTTCCCAGAAGTGAAGAAAAAATTCCAAAGAAATGTAATTGCTCTTCTGTGAGATTAGGATATCCAGAACCTGCAGATTTCTTTTGCTCTTTGTACAGTCCTTTCTCATAAGGAGCTTCTTGCATTAATTTGCTCCAGTTGCTGCTTAGTTTGGTGGTCCTGAGGCACTAGGAAAATGCACGCTGTCCTCTAGAGGTCTGGATCTCCCCAGTCTCTCCCACTAGGACGTTGTTAATGTTTTAAGAAGCAGTGAAAGGCATCCTTGGAGCCAACCTTACTGGATTTCTTCCCTGCCTAAAGAATGCAGAGCATTCCTTTCCAGCCACAGGGACATTGTGCCATACTTTGAGACAAAAGAAGTAAACATGGAAAAAAAATAAAGTTCTATTTTCTTTATCTGGGAAGTGTTGAGGTTTTAGCTCAGATTTAGCGTATTGCAATTAGAAGTAGTGTTTTTTTACAGTCACCAAGAAGGTTTTAAAAGTAGTCTGGTTAGGAATCAGAGGGATGTGAAAAACAACCATGTAACTGCTTATCTCTGTAAATTCACCTGGTCTTCCTTCTTAAAACTGGAAACAGAAAATTAAAAATGAGTGAAGAGGAAATATATTGAAGTGGGGATACTGGCTCATTAGTGGTAGTTTACTGTTCTGGACACTGTATGGTACCATTTTTAAACCATCTGAATGAAGTAAATGGAAAAGGATGGATCCCAGTAATGTGGGATTTAAAGTGATGCAACTGCAGGGTAAATTTGGGCTGGAGTACCTTTCAGTGTCAGTCATGAAGAGTCTTGAGTGATATGAACTCCCTTTGTCTTGTATAAAGTCTTTAACAGTGCAAAATGTTCCAGACCTGTTTTGACTTGTCTTGTTTCCCTATTGCAAAAGCTGACAATAGCATGTGCAATTGCCTGAACAGTTGTTGGTGAAACGTAATGCAGAAGAGCAAAGCCCAGGCTGAGCTTGTTGTACACTCACTATCTTACGTGTAGACATGACTCTGGTATGGAGCTGCAAAAAGCTTTTTCTCTGTGAGTTTTGCAGCATGCAAGAAAACACTGAAACAGTTTATGAAAACTAAGATGAACAACTTGAAATTCCTGCTGAGAAACCTAAGATGAGCAACTTGAAATCCCTGCCAATTAAACATGTAGAATTGGGTTCCTTTTTGTGGGTTTAACTGTCAGAAATTAGTTTAAAGGCAGGCTTTGTTGGCAGGAAAATACTGGGCTGCAATTGTGGGCAAGTTGGCCCGTTCTGTGGCTTTTTTGGTGCTTTTTTCCAAGAGTCTTACCTCTAGAAAATGCTAATGGCCCACTTATGCAGCCAACAGACTGAGCAATTTGAATCAGTAATGAGCCATTAGTGTGAGTCAGTAATTAGGCTGAGTGGTAAAGGGTGAACACTCTCCTCAGGCAAACCCAGGCAAAGGAGACTTGAGGAAAATAAGTGGAGCCACTTGTACCTGGGGACCTGGAAGCTCTGTCTGCTGGTGGTAAGAAGTCAGGTGCAGCTTGCCCTAACTCACCTGCCCTCAGCTTGCAGGGAGAGGAGCACATGGTCTCAACAGGATGTCTCACAGAAGACAGATAATACCTTGACAAAAACTGTCAAATTGAAATGTGACTAAAATACCAGACTGGGACTTTGGTCTTCACCTTCTCCAGATCTTTCTGGATTCAACTCAGTATTATGTATTGAAACACAACTGTGCTGTTACACAAATCGAGCTTCAGCTGTGTCTCCAGCCTCATAAACACTGAGAAAATGCTTTGGTGTCTTTAGCAGTTAGTGGAGAATACAGCAAAGAAAGAGAAATATTGTG